CCGTGGCAGGTGCAGTGCAGGGCTCACAGCACCCAGCACTGGCAGCTCAGCGGGCACAGCTGGCTCGCTCACTGGGCAGCTCCACCAGCCACAGCTCCAGTCACGGGGTGCCCAGCTCCTCAGCAGGGCACTGGGATGCCCTGCAGACCTACAGATCCTTCCTGGGACAGCGATCCAGAAAAAGACCCTCAACACTTCCACTCAATAAGCATTCAGAAAACCAAGCTGGTCCCTTCAATTAGTGACCTCCATTCGTCACCACTGCTCATCACAGTACACAAACATGCACACACAAACAGGAACCAAATCCACACTAATCACTAGCGGGAAGGATCACATCTTAATCAGGCAATTCATTTTTTTTCTCCACTGCAGCAGCCTGAACAGCCTGCTGTGCTTCCAAACCAACCCACAGGCAGCCTACAGACTGCTCTGGGGAGCTGAGGGGTTACACCCCCTCTGTCACTTGAGGAGAGAGCTGGAGAACCTAAATGCAGTGTTTGCACTTGGAATGCTTCTGTATTTGCTCTGAACCGCATTGATCAGAGGTACCAGGTTACAAAGCTCATGGTGCTCATGTCCCACTGAGTCACCAGGAGGGGATGACAGATCCAAACCAGCATTCTATAAACCCCTTGTGACTCACTCCAAATTTGAGCAGGCTTTGTATGAGAAAACTACTATTGCCAAGATCAGCTTTAACAGGCAACAAGAAGTTATCGCTGTTCAAATATAAATAGTAACAAGAAAAAATTTACAAATACTTAAAAATTTCAAGTGTGAAAGGAAAGTTTGAGCTCCGAGAAATGTTTGCATATGTTTAAAGGGCACGTACTTCAAGTGGAAATCATCTCGTTTAAAACTTCAGACAGCCTGGAAAGCCAGACTGTAACTATAAAATAAGCCCACATTGATGCTAATTGAGCCTCGCTTTCTGGCAGAGGCTGTTGGAAGGCTGATCCTGACCCACATCCTCTCCCCTCATTTACGTCTGGTATCAGTCACTGCCATTGTTCATTGTGATCCCGACTGCGCAACAAGGCCAGCTATGACCCATCTGATTTATCTCTGTCACAGCTTGAGCTCTGTTCACCAGCAATGATGGAAGGCAACAGTGTCTGAGGGATGCAGGCCCGGCAACACTGAGCACATGGCCTGGCTTTGCCTTGGTAGGAAGAAAAGGCAGAGGGAAGCACACGTGTATCAGTTCACGTGGCAAAGACAAATAGTACAAAACAATGGGGATCACTAACCCATTCATTACATGTTAGCTCTGTGATCAGCAAGTAAGCACTAACTATTTAATTAGTCAACTAATTAGTGACAGGCAACATGGAAGGCTTCAGATGTTCCCAGACAAATGCAAAGATAAAAAGCCTAATTAACCAGCAAGCATTATGCTAACTACTGCCAAACAGGCCAGATGTGCAGGATACTGTGCACCCCGGTGCTGCCAGATATGGCAGCGGTAGCTGCTCTGTTGGGAACCCTGTTCAGACCCTGCCCTTTCAGAGCTGATCCTGGGTACCCTGAACTCATCCTGCAGAGAAAAACTCAGATTTACTGTGCTGGACTCTGATTCTACCCTAAGCATAAAGTTCAGGGCTTTGACAAAAGTTACTTTAATCCATCTGGTTTTTAAACACGGTAGTTATTTTAATGCACCCGTATGGAGAGGGAAATGAGTTTCACAACAACTTCATATGAAATATTGTGATCTGAGCCACCATTCATTTATGGCTATTTTATGTAGCATGCTATGTATATTCCAGCATCTGCAGAGAGTAAGTCATTGTTTACACCAGGGGTTGGATTAAGGAGGTTTTCAAAATCATGGATTAAGAAGGGTTTTCCCTATAATCAGAACACAATAGCGCTTTCCACAGCTATATGCAAAGAGGTGGATAAAAGCCAATTGGTTCCCTGCACTGGAACCAGTGACAAGATACTGCTGGGAGCAAGCTCTGCATTCCTGCAGCCCAACTTCCACCCTGGCAGCTGGGGCACATGGGTTCACAGGCTGCTCCAGGAACCAGCCCCTGGAACAACCTGGAAACGCTGGGGTTTGCAATCCTGTGTTCTTCTGGCCTAATGCTGCTGCCATGCCCATCACTCAAACTAGCAAAGGAAAAAAAAACCAAACAAGGAAACCTCCCACTGTCACACCTGTACCTCCCAAACACTGGCTGGTCAGCACGAGAGAGGCCAGGCTCTGCTCTCCCTGCTGACTCCACCAGTCACCTGGCTCTCCAATAAAATCCATGTGCACTGCCAAGAAAAGCAGCAGTACAGCTAAAAACATGTCTGCATATGACTACAATCCAAGAAAAAAAATTAAAAAATCAGGAAATACTTATTTGAATGGTGAAACCTGAAAAGTGGTATCACCTGCAATGCCCCAGCACTGGATGGAGAACACGGAAGCGATTCCCCAGGGCTCAGAGCACCCCAGGATTAGGAGGAAGCTCCCTGCACTCACAAGCTACTCCACACACCTGTTTGCAGCATTTCTGCAGGGCCCTGTGAAGTGAAGGACTCCAGTGGGTGCCCCAGTGTTCTGTCCTCTGGGACTGCTTCCCAAGGCTCCAGCAGCAGGAACCAGCACAGAGCCAGAGAGCAGGGCAGAGGTTTGGGAGGTCCAGCTGCCAGCACACATTGCCCTGAGCAGCACAGAGGATTCCAAAGCTCATCTGGGGTCCAGGTGGGTGTGCACAGTGCCACAGCTGCTCCATGGCACTGCCCCAGGAGTGCTGTGCCCTGGGATGTGCTGCCCACAGCACAGTAGGAGCAGGAGCCATCCCAACACAGGGGAGCAGAGCTCACTCTTAGGGTTATTTCTCTGCTTAATAAAAAAACATATTTCCTCAGTCTCAAAGAAGTTGAAAACATTTGCAAGATCAAGTTCTAATAACTGCCATGTCGGTAAGTGAATTACATTTGTGTGTTTCCATGGTGACTGATAATGTAAAATAATTAAGTATGAAGAATAACAACGAGAAAATAACTTCCTCTTTTTAAGGATTAGGGCTCACAAATTGATTCAATCCAGCTATTTTTAGTGCACGTAACCTTCGCAGGGAATATTAGAAAATTATGAGCAAATTAAACTAAACTGCTTTAAAAGGCCTTCACATTGATCAGAAGGCTATTTGCTGCTGATGTGAAAATTAAAAAAGAATCTTTCCTAAATTTATACCTCTATTAATATAAACTCAGTGCGCTCAGTCGCTCCTGGAGCAGCACCCCATGGCTCAGGCAGGAGCTCAGCTGTGCAGCACTGCAGACAAGCTCTCTGCTACACACAAGGGGGACGTGTCCTGCAGGAACTCTGCTAGAGTTGGGATCACACTAAACTCCTGCCTGGAAGGCCTTGGCTGAGACATTCTGAGGGCAACACCTGTAAAGACCTGTTCACTACAGACTCAGCTGCTGGCTGACACACCTGGAGCACAAACACACTTTGGTTTCCCTCACAGTGTTTGAAAGCACAGCAATAAACAGCACAGGGTGAGTAGTAAGAAAGAGGTTAAAAGCTCTGAAGTGCATCTTTAACTGAATTCAGGGTGGAACTGAAAGCCTAAAAGGTGCTAATAACAGGAGGATGAGAGGAAGTGATTTACCCCAAGATAGGATGCTTTACAGGAAAAGTCAGGAACATAATAAAGAGCAAGGAGCAGGAATTTTTTCTGCACTGCTCCATCAGTACAACATCTATAAAGCACTTCAACTTATTCTTCTCTTGACATACTGATTTCATTTTCGTTTGTGATGTTATCAGTGGTTGTTGTAGAAATACAAATTCCTGGCTTAACTGAAAAAAAGGCAGAATTTTTCATTCTCTGCCCCCCCATTAAAGCACCAGACTCCCCCAGCTCCTGTAGCATTTTGTCATAAAAATCATGTTCAGGATTTGAATTTCATATCCATTTCTGCAAGTGTTTCAAGACATCTCTAGTATGTGTGAATAAACTGCAGAAAACACTGACTGCATCAAAGAAACTGCATTTCCACAGTCTGACTTCCCAATAAGCCCCCGAAACTGCTGTGGAGGAGGTACTGGCACAGGAGCTGCAACAGTGAAACATCAGAGAGGGCACCCTGTCCTCACTTTGCGAAGGCTGTGAAACAGCAGACCTCACCCACCAGCTTTCCCTGCCTTAGACAGGGAAAAGTATAAAAACAGCTGCATACTCCCCTTCCCCACAAGTTTATACAGTTATTTACTCCAATTTGGATAATTCCAGATAACCACAGCAATTCTATTTGCAGTTTTACTGCTGAAAAAACGCTTTAGTGAATGCTGCCAGCACATGCTCCAGGTGGGGTCACTGACAGAGTGGTGTCCTCTGCCAGACCTTTCCCACACCCACACCCAGGTCTGCAGCAAACCGGCAGAAGTGCCAGAAATTACAACTGTGATTCCTGAGCAATCCCAAACATCACAAACCTCATCAGAATCAAAGGAATCAAAAGGTGTCATGAGAATCAAAACATCACAGCGAGACAACTCAACAAGCTCACGTGGCACATTTCTGCACAGCTCTGAAAACATGGCATCATCACAAGGGAAGGGAAGGAGGGACCCAAGCAGCAGTTTGGGATCCCACCGGGCACAACTGGCTTTAAAGGTCAACACTGCTTTGGAGCACACATGAAGGGCTACTGACTTCCACCCCTAACAATCTGGTGTAAGAACAACATCCAAGGAGACTTTAAGTGCTTCCAATTCTCACTGTCAGTGTGCCTCCACCCTGAGGATCTCCGGCTGACCCGGAGTAGCTTGGCAGCCTGGGAGCCCCAGAGGAAGCCAGGGTGCCAGCACACACCTCTGCAGCTACGGGTGCTCAGACCTGTAACTTGTCTCAGCAAATGCTCTGAGACAGACTCAAGGCACACTTCACATGGAAGAAACAAGCCCCTTCATATAGAAGGGACACAAGTTCCTTCATACAAAAAGGAACACATTCTTCTCAGTAAAGGAAACAAAATTAAAAACTTACCAAAAAACCAGTGTTTCCAAAAAAGAGATTCCAACATCGGATGCACCAACCACCACAATTCTAGTGTTGATAGACACTTTAGATTCCAGCACCAGCTTTCGATTTGTGAGGTTCAAAGAAAAACTCAACTGTAAAAACATATGGAACATGACACAGAAATGCATTAAAAAAGCAGCCAAAGCCTGCTAAGAAGCATTAAACTCACAGTGATGTGTTACCTTGCATTCACACCAAACTTTTTATGGCTCACTGACATGACTAATAGCATGATTTTTCTGTGCACAGCACCAGATAAGCTATACAGAAATGCTGAAATACATGCATGTTTAATAGGTCACAGAAAATTAGCAGAGCTGAATGATCTGGTTTCTCCTGAGCAAGATACTCTGGAGCCCTCATAGGAGAGGACAAAACACCACCTATGCTATCACTCACTGCATTTAGCAAACACCTGGAGAACATGCATTTCTATACTGCTAAGGCCATTTTTATGTCTTCTAGAGCAGTTTTCACTCATGCTGGTTTATTTATGGAAATGGTTTCACTCAGATGAACTAGAAACTTATATTTTGAGTGTCTGTGTGTGTTGAATTGAAAACTCCCAAAATTATCCTTCTCTCTTCTTGAAATACAGAGCAGCCACCCAGAAAGCCAGGCTGTCACATGCACAAGCAAGTACCTCAATGCCACCGGGATCAATACTCCAGTCACAAAATCTTACTATAGCATTTGTAATTACTAATCTCAGTTTCCATACTACTTAAGGCACACCCTGGCTATACAGGCAATAGACTCCATGTGGTTTTTTTTCCCTCCATGTGTCTCTAAGTCTCTCTACCTAACAGAGATTCTCAAAATCAATATGCAAGAAAGAGCCAAGAGGTAACATTGCATTTGACAATTTTTTTTCTGCCCTGAACTATATTAAGCTTTTGAATTTCTGATGGAAGGCAGGGAAATACTTCCCATCTCACAGTACAACACACTGCATTTTTCTGATTGCTTTGGGTTGCCTACATTCCCATTTCATAGAATGCATAAGTGCAGAGTCATAAATGCACTGGGAAGGCAAATGCAAAATGGAGCCACTTCTGATGTTTGTCAGACACTTCTCCTATAAATTACTGCTGTGGCACTTAGGCAGGAAGCAATCCAAGGCTTCTAACAGGTTTTCCTCTACTACAAATAGGAGGCAGAGGGTTAATGATATTAAGCCCTCTGAATTCCTCCTATGAAATTACAGTAGAAATATATTCTCTATATATTAGTTGACAGTAATTCAATAGATGGAGAGTGTTTTATTTTAAAGCTATGGTAATTACATGTGCCTTCTCAAGAAGTACGTGGCACACTGAGATCCCCAGGAGATCTTTTATGCCATGTCTCTGCACTGGTGGAGCCCCACAGCTGAGGTTTCAGCACAGAAGGAGGAAAACTGTCTGGAGAATGACTAGTGTTGTCCTTAAGGAAAGATTATGGACCAATGCCTTGCCAACTGGCATCACTGCATAGCAAGCCATTTAGAATGTGGCAAAACTAAATGTTGCCTTTGGTCAGGCAACATTATTTTTTACTGCCAGATAAATGTTCTTCAAGTTGCAGTTCACCATAGTGCAACGAGGACATCCAGTGGTGAGCCACATTCATCTCAGGGACTGTACTGCCCTAGGAAAATTCCAGAAGATATCTTAAAAAGTATACCAGCCCATGGTGGCTGCTTAGCAGAGGTCAGCTGTGTGCCAGCCAGCACACACTGCAGTGAAGAATGCCTGGGCTTGCCAGGGAGAAGCACAGAACCACCCTCGTGCTCTTATCTGAGTTACACGGGACAGCAGCAAGTGCACAGAGAAGCCAAACAGTTCCATCCACAGCCAGTGCTTTTGTACATGGTTAAACACTCCCTACAGCAGGATCTGCCACTAAAAGGATTTGGGTCACAAGTTAGAATATACCTATAATAGTTCCACATTTCAGAAAATGAAAAAGCCTTTCATAGTCCACTGAAAATTGCTGGGAGAAGCTTTAGGAAATAAGAACTCGTGCCAAGTATTACAGGCATCCCCCACTGCTTAAAATAAAGCCATGTTCTTTGTAACAAACTAAATGGTCATGCCCCAACTACATGTGATGTAGCCCTGCCAATGCTGACACGTGGAGCCCTCCTGGTCCCACAAACAGGTGTGGAAGACACGGTGCTTCAGGCTCTACTCCTGCCATTCCCATTCCCTGGGTCAGCAGACAGGAACTCTGACAGGCTGGGCTCTGCTGCACACACAGGGTCGCAACTTCGTAGGAAAGCATGGTCTTCTGGGAGGAAAACAATTAGTGATGTTTCTGTTGAAATGTGACTTTTAATAAATTAATAAGTGGTAAAAAAACCACAATCAGAAACTACTTGTAACACACCTAATCACCAAAAGTAGGTAGGGATGCCAGCAGCTGACAGGACAAACCCAACAGGCCTCGTGGCAGTGCCAAGGTCAAACATCATCTACTGCTGCTCTGTGCTGGTGGCTCACGTTAATGTATTCCAGCAACCAAACACAGAGCAGGAATACAATTTCCCTGGGAAGAGTTGTATCTAATTTATGAAATGGTTTCTGTATCAATGACACAAAGGCAGCGTTTGAGCAGAATATAACCCGTGGTGCTCCCCACACAATGGCCCCAGCACCAACAGCTGTCATGCTCCAGAAATCACCTTTCCACAGCTAAGTACACTAAACGGCCCCAGGGAGCGAGGAATTAGGTGGATTGGTCCCATAATACCACCTATTTTAACAAAGTGTCAGGACAAATGGCTACATATGTTCCCCAGAGGGGTAATCAGACATCATAACTGATAGGTCAATAGCAAACCAACTTGTTTATTTTGTATCCAATCTATTAAATAAACCAGCAATCATTAACTAATGCACAGCAAAAAGCACTAATTGCCATTGGTAGAAGAGGCCTATGTAGCTCAGAAAAGAGAATTTTCTTTGGTTCTCAAAGAGATTATTTAGGGTGCCTGGCACCCCTGCCCCCCCCCCACTGCTGAGGCAGAGGGACAGTGGAGCTGGCAGTGGTGGCCCTTAGGCACCAAACCACAGGGATATTCCTGCACACAGCCAGCCAGTGCCATCACTCAGGGGCCTTCGAACCACCCCTCATTAAAACACTGCTGCACTTCCCAGAGCACTCCACTGACAACCACACCCTGCACTGCCTGACGGCTCTCACTGGTGGTCTCACAGCACAACATGTGCCAGAGCAGGGTCAACTTATGGCATCCCAAACTCACACATCCTTCTACTCCAAGTAACCAATGGAAAAAAGAGACAAAGTACTGCTCAGGTTTCAGCAGACTCGCTTGCATGCATTATTTCCTTTGCCCTTTCCAACCATGCACAGCTTCATGCCCAGCTCTCCTATCCAGTTTGTACATGCCCTGGGAACAGATTCAGGGTACATTTACTCAACAACATTGTGTGGTGGTACAAACTCACATCCAGAATATTTTGTAGCTCCTCTTTTAGTTCTGTTTTTAAAACATTGGACCCTGAGCTATTTGTAGGTTTTCTAAATATATTTATTATAATTTTTCTACAACAGGTCAGGGTTTATAGCAAATATTACCTTCATTCTAACAGAAAAAAATGGAAACTGAGCACCCAAAACTGTAAAAACAAGTTAGACAAAGGATTTCAGCTGTGACACAAGAGAGCAGTGCTGTGTTCTGAACTGGGCATTGATAAATGTACCCCAGTAACACATAACTGCTGTGTCAGAGAGCTGGCACACTGCTTGCTGGGACTCCTCATGCAAAGGCTCCATAACACTGCAGAGTCACAAAATCAGTCAGGCTGGAAAACACCCCTTATATCATCGAGTCCAACTGTTAAACTTAGACTTGACTTAATGACACCGTGAGGACTCGTGCCTTGCCCAGCCAAACACACAGAAGAGTTGGCTACAGGTTTAGTGTGCTGAAGTGGCCCAAATTCAGGACTGCTCAGGGTACTACATGGCAAACACAGGGCTGGCTCATCTGTTATGTACTCAGCATCTTCACAGATCCCTCACTACCACAGGGAGTAACAAGGAACCACTGGGAGGGGCCCTCCCTGCCCTATCCTGCAGGATTCTGTGTCTGCCGACAATGCTTTTGTTTTAATTCAGCATTTGTTACTGAGAAACCTGAGTGATAGTTACTGCTGTAGAGGATTGATGTGATTTGAACTGTTACTGTAAAAACCATCAGAAGGAGTGAAAACAATTAGCAAACCTGTTCCTAGAGCAGTGCTGAGCTCAGCAACAGTGACTGGCAAACAAGAAGGTGAGCAAACAGAGCTATTTTAATTTCAAGCTCCATTTGAACCACAAGTTAAAAAAAGAAAAATCAATGTTTACCAAGGAGATATGAACAACTCATTGGAAAATGCATGCTTTTTCAACCTGCATTAGGAATTGTTTTCTAAATACTAGCTACATTCCAAAAAGCCTCATTAGAAATGTCTGCAAACATGTTTTCAAAAGCTGTTTCCAAGCATTTACAGACTGCCACAAACACCAGAAACAGAAGGAAAAGAGAACAGAAAGAGCAACAGTGATGAAGAGTGTAGCCTTAATTATTTTGTCATCTTTGCCAAAGAATCCTTCTTTGGGAACTGTGGCATAGGCAGGTAACACCTCACCTTCACAGAATATTTTTCATCTACAGACCTCCAAGACCTTTATAAAATGAAGTCAATATTATTACACCAATCTCATACAAGTAAATGCTGATCTTCAGCTTCTAGAAGAACAGTATCTATACAGGCAATCCTATGTCCATCTCCATGAGTCCCTACAAAACCAGGGATTTCCCCTGTAACTCCAACTAGCAGCAAAGGAGAGCAGAGCACAGACACAGCTATTTCTTTTCCTTGCAGAACCACTGTTACCATGGTAGAGCATTCCCTTTGAGCACTGACATTTGGATCCTCAGCCCAGAGAGGGCTGGGCAGTTCCCACTCACAAAAATCCCACAATTGCTTGCTGCCCTGCTTCAAAGGCCAGAGAAATGAACTCTGAACGGTGCCACTGCCAGTGGGCTCAGTTCTTCCCCTTCTGTCCAGGTAAGAGAAGAACAGAGAGGGGACACTGA